TGAGAAGGTGAAATTGTCTGCCTTCCCTGGATTTCTGTTTGCTTATAGAAGAGTCACCTAGAAAGGGAAAGGAAACTGAAGACACAACTGAATCTTTATAGACTAGAAAGCAGTGTTTGTGACGGCGAGTGAGAGTGTTGGTACCAGAGAGGATGTGGAGGACTGTGTGATGATGCTGGTGGCTGCAGGGAGCTCAGCCTTGGTCACTTCTATAGCCAGACCCCCTGACACCTGAGCCAGGTCTCTGTACAGCGCAGCGTTTGAGACCCCCATCCGACTCTGCTGCTGCTCGCTGTCATCGACCTGTCTTCGCCGACGGGATCGCAGTACGGCAGTTATCATGAAGTTCACCTAAACAGAGACAGAAATATCAAGGAAAGTTAGAGGCGTAAAGCCAACTGGGAGGAGCTTAGAGTTCAAGGAAACCAAATCGCAAAAACCTCATTTATTATTGCGATGCATTTTATTTTATCAGGCCTATCTTGTAATTTCGCCCACAATGTTACAGCCTTATTTGGACCAAATAATTAATTTCTATATGTCAAATGTAATACATTTAATCCACTGTAGAAGTATTTGAAAGTTGTGATATTGTGTACTTATTATCATATCCATACCTGCATAGTATAACCGGCATTCATATCAATATTTATGAACAAAGTTCTTTGTGTTTAATGTTAAAACACGGCGAGCATTACCTACGCCTAATCCTGTTAACATGCTAACTCTAGCATTTAACCTAATGCACTGTTGTGCCTAAGTACGACCTTACTTGTATCTAAACTTTTATGTTTTTCTAGTGTATGTGTCTCTTTTTAAATATCTTTTATTTTTATTTACCAAAATGTTTTGGGTTGGTCAGCGGATACATTATTGAAAAGTTTGAAAACCACTGTTCTTAAGCGTTTCTTTGCCCCCAATTGTAGATACTTACCACAGACTTGGTGCGCTCTATGAGTGCGATCACTGTGCTTTTCAGGTGTGTGTCTTTAGCAGGAGCATCCGTGAAGAGGAAGATCTCAGACTCAGGAGGAGCCCCAGCTAAAGCCAGCTGTAGGAGCATACAGAAGTTTTCTTTAAATGTTTTATCTTATTATGACAAGTTGACCATGAAGTAGTCTCATAAACATCTCAGCACCTGAAGCCCTGAAAGACTCATCTCTGGACTATCTCCTCCTCCTTCTGCTCTTAGTGAATCAATCGCATTCTTGAAGACATTTGGGTCTGTAGTCTTCAGCAGTGGCCCAAAATCTGGGGTTCAGGTGAAGAAAGGATTAATACATGATTTTAATATTCCTCTTCTGCTTGTTGGATACTTTCTGGTTTACAGATATGTGTTCTTTCTTTATTATTGACATATTATGTGAACAACACTCCAACATTAAAGTATGTCCGGTACATGAGCCACCAGCTCAACCAGGTGAGCTATGCCGCAGTCCCAAATGTTATAATTTAATGGTACAAATAACCCTTTTTTCAAAACAAACTACTAGACAAGATTGAAAAGTCTGGGGCATAATAATACCTGGATCGTTGAAAGGAACAAGAATGTAGAGTGAGGGCTCATCTTCTGTTCCCACTTTACTGTCGATTATAGAGGAAATGACGGCCCGCACTGCATCGATGTCATCGCTCATGCTTCCTGTCGTGTCGATCACAAAGCAAAGAGCTTTACTGGATCCTTTGTTGATTCCCATCAACCTGAGGGAAGAAGGAACAAAGAGATAAGAGAAGATCCCATTTGCAGTTTTACACTAACTGCAACATGCAGAATGGGTTTCTTACTGGAGGAAGGTTTTGTCCCCAGCAGCCCCTCGAATGTCCTCCAGTAGCTCACTGGTGGCAGCTACAGCCATATTTGCTGCTGTCATGTGGAGGTGTCCATGGTCGGAGTCAACTTTGTCTTTGTTAATCCCACCTTTAGGTTCAGTCTTTCTTGTTTTATCCCAAAAACCTCCATGGCTGCACTTTCCTGTTCAGTAATAGAAACAGATAAGAGAACACTTCTTCTATCTTCTTTGGAAAATAACCAGGATGGAGGCAGGTGTTACATCCTTTACCTTCTGGTTTGGAAGAACTAAATATAGCAAAATATCCCGAAATAAGTATCTTTTCCTGTAGGATATCTTCCAAAATGTTGTTCCTGCAGTCCTTGCCGTCACAGTTGCGACAGGTTGCTCTGTCTTTGGCTTTGAGAAAGAACAATTTGTCAGTTTTCTTTTTTCTTGTCATCTGTTTCTTTTCTTGTGCAGACAAACGCTGACATGATATGTTTTACCTGCTATGTTTCCGATGCTCGTCCCTTCCCTGAACAGGTTAGAGTTTGGGAGCTTGTTTCCCATTTCCACCCAGTTACTATGACTGTAGAAATCCTATTATTTAAAAAGGAAATGTATTATATAAAGTCTATATCTTTAAATACCAAGATCATTTTTTCAGAAGTCTTCATTAATGCACTTTAAAGATGTCCCCTTACCATTGCAGGTTTAAATAGGCGTCAGTTTATATGATTTAAAAAGTAAATTAGCCGATGGAAATTGATTAAATTGATTGAAAATGTCAAAAACAAATAAAGAAATGACCTGTAAAGTGTGTAAGATTCTCCCCAGTTTCTGGCTGCCACAAAGTTTTCACGCTTGTTGCTGGCCTTCACAACGGACAATCCTTCTGTGATGAGTCTCCTCCCATCCAAGAACTGTTCATCGTCAAAGTGATGAGGTGCTGAGTAGAAATAATATTTATCTGTGTGTCGATTCTTTTTTTTGGATTAATTTGATAGCGTTGCTGAAGCTCTTGGATGATTTTGACGCTTCACAGGCAACAGCAACAGACACAGCATTCAAAGTCTGTGGACAAACACACACAAATAATAAGGCATAATGATAATGAACAATACAGGCAATGGTCAACATTCAAATTAAAATGTATTTAGGTAGAATTTATTCCTTACAGGGAAAGTGAAGTCTTTGCCCTCAGCCCGGGCCAGAGCGCGACACGCCTGCACGGTGGCATTGAGGATGGCTCTCTGAGTGATATCCTCATGAGTTAGTGAAGAGCTGGACGAAAAGCCTTCACTGAAAAAGTATATTTCAAACCCGAAAGCTCCAGTCTGCAGAAGCAGGAACCACAAAGCTGCCAATCCAAACATCACTATGCAAAAAAAAAGCACATGTATTGTATTGTTTATTATAAAGATAAACACAAAAAACATGTTAATTCAGAAAATAAACCAAATGCATAATTTGTTCCTGTTTTTTTTAACCACAACCAAACAGGAGTTCCCTGCAGCACTAAAAGAATAGCAGCTAACACATCATTATTTCACTTTCAACAAAAACTTCACATAAAATGGATTCAACTTTGTTTTTTTCTGGTCAATTGACTACAAAAGTGTGGTCCTTATTTAACAAACATGTATGATGTTACTGTACCTTAGGTCTTGAGGTCCACTTAATTTATAATGGTTGTTATCCGGGGAGGAGTCCATCACTGCATGACTCGTCTGACCTGTTGCTTCTGAAACATAACACCACTGTTATGTTTTGATTAAGTAGAAGTTTTCCACAGATAATTGAGTTGTGGCACTGGGCGTACCCGGCAGCAGTTTTTTGACTACATGTGCTGCAGTGGAATGACTGATAGAGGATGATACTGCCTTTCCTCTGACCTCATCACTTAACAGTTGAAAACATATTTAATTATTTTTTAAATGCTATCTTTCAAATGCTAAGAAAAGTAGCTTGAGTCTCTGGCTTTTTTCTATTCATTTTTGCAGTGGCATCATTTTAAATACAACTCACAAACAGTTTAATAAAGAACAACTTGTCATATGGCGTGCTGAAGCCCATTATCACTGGTTTGTTACAAGGATGGGGACATCTCCTCATGCGAAAAGGGTCGCGGTACCAACTTTTTTTTAAAGTGGCTCACGTTTACGCATTTGGGTCTGGAAACTAAATCCTGGAGAAGTTTTTAATATCTTCTGAATATAAGATATAATACAATTGTATTTTTCCAGAGTGAAACTGCTGTACAGCGATTGCAAAACTTACTTGGACGAGTGCAAATCTGAAAATCGAATCTACCAAAAGACGTGAGGTAGTCTGATGAAGAGATATGCAAAGGGTTGGCTAGTTGTTGGGACTTCTGTGCTAAGCACGGATTGGCCATTACAAATATCCTTTAGTTTTGGAATGCGCCTATTGAAAAATTCCACTACCAATTTTGAGAAGAACAATTTGTCCAATACCAATATGGATGCTGAAGCTTCTTTGCTTTTTTGTTGTTGTTGATGACAGCAAAAAGGAAAGATTCATCATGCCGTGTAAACTAGTTATATAACTTGGCAGCATAACCTTAGGACAAAGAACAATGATCGACTCGATGTTGTTATCATCAGGTCTGCAGTCTGAACTGGCTGGTTGGATCAGAGAGAGGTGGTTTATCAAGTTGAGGTTGGCACAGATAGTAGGGTGCGTCTGTAGTTCTTGGAATTATTTTCTATTATTATTTGTTTTTGCAATTAGCAAACAGAGTTTTTGTTGTTTTGATGTTCCCATTTGATAGTTTCATTTTCAGTTCTGATAACAGGTTGTGTGAGAAACCTACGTTTGCAGTACATGTCCCTGTCAGCCCAGTTTTGTACATCCGGACAAAATGAACAATGTTATCTTTCAATGAAATTCAAAATGAGATGAGAGTGCAGTGGCAACTTCAAGACCTCTTTAAATAGATTGAGATAGATTAAAACAGTCTAAAGATAAAATAACAAGGACTGTTGTATCAACAATCCAAAACATAATCACAGTTGAACTGGGGTAATGATGCCAAAGAATTCCGATAAGGCAAGGTCAAATAAATCCTGTTAGCATTAATGGAACAGATTTATGTGGCGTGTGTTTGCTCAGTCCGAACTTGTGCTTTCAGTAAATGATTTATGGAGGGAGGTGGAGCAGCAGCAGGAGTTGAGAGGCTACAATTTACATTACCCCAGTTCTCTTTTTTGTGTTTGCAAAAACTGTAGAAAGAAGACAACCTTTCTGAACTTCAGCCAGCCTACAGGGCATGAATGTCCCACTGATTTGTGGCACAACAAGGCAGGATTGTAAATATGGGGGTCAGATGTTACTGAGGAGATCACAGTAACACTCAACGAAGAAAACACAGGACTTGTATGATAAACTGCAATCTCTCTATTTACCAATGGCATCATTCGTATGGGATTATTTGTTCTGTTTGCTTCCTTCACTGCTGCTCCTGCTGCTGTCTCTGGGTCTCCGCTGGCCCAGGGTATGTTGTTGGACGAGGCTGGCTTTCTCTGCTGCAGGGTGGAGACTCTGGGTCCTTATTTGCCTGATCCTGGAGCTGCCACTAGACAGGAACATACGAACAGGGACTGAGGATATTCTGTCAGGCTCCGGTCCGGCCTCAGACGCTCCGCAGCTCATCTGCAAACCCTCTGCTCTCGCCACATATCTGCTGCGGCACTGTGGCTCTCTGGCCAGGCCGAGACTAGCCCCCTGGCCCAGAGGAGACCCCCACCTGCAGACCCTGTCCAGCCTGCTGTGGGGACAACATGGAGACATATTACAGTTCACTAGAGATAATCTGTTACTGAGGGACGGGGGTATCGTTGCTCTGGACTGGGCTGTGGGGACAAGACTGGGTGAGTTTGGAGGGAGGAGGAGGTGGGAGGGGAGGAAGGAGCCGGGGTCCGGGGGGAACGCGCTAGGCTGCTTCACCACAACGCCTCCTGTCCTCCTCCTCATCCCTGGGTCCTGGGGAGGGATGACCCCCCACCTGAAGGTGCTGTGCCACCAGGCCGTGCGTCAGGGCTTCTACGTGGTGGTGTTTCACGCTCGAGGCACCGCGGGCTGTCCGCTGACCTCAGCACGGCTCACTGAGTTCGGAGACCCAGCTGATCTTGAGCAGGTACAGAAAGAAGTACAGGTTTCTTTTAAATCAAGTTTTGGGTTATTATGTTTTTAGATAATTATGTTCATAAGACTTTTGGGATGAAACGATTTGTTAGATAGATTGATAGATATATAAAAAAAAAGTCAACAATAATAATCAAATTCATATTATTTTAGTTGCAGGCCTATTTTCAATCCAATTGACAATGCACACACAACAGTGTTCAAAAATGGTCATGCTTCTCTGTTAATTATCAGTAAACAAATATTACAGCTGGGCCAGAAGTTTTGTTATTCGGTCATAAACCAGTGTTAAAACTGAAATGCTGTTGCCAACATGATTATTAGGAATCGTCTTCTGGGAATTATTCATGTCCATACATTTGTTTTAATTGCAACCCATCACATTGCCACACAGTTGCTCTTAGCATGGCTAAAATTAACATTGTGTTCATCCAATTGCTTTACAGTATTTTACCCTTCAGTAATGACTTCCTGGATTATCTTCTTCTTTCAGGTGGTGGCCTATGTCCACAGCCGCCACCCATCCTCTGTGATGGTTGCAGTGAGTGAGGGATCAGGCTCAGGGACTCTTCTCTCCTACCTGGGGGAGAGTGGGTCCAGTTCCTGTCTGAAGGCGGCTGCAGCCATCTCTCCTGTACTCAGGGGACAGCTGTGGTTCGAAACAGCCATGCCTCCTGTTTATCGCTGGGGGGCGTTGATTCACCGGAAACTGCAGCTCAGTAGGTGAGAGAGAAAACAATTAACAGATGTATTAAAGGTCACCTATTGTGCAAAATCCACTTTTTCATGTTTTTTATACATCAACATGTGTCCCCTCTGCGTAAAGAGACTCTGAAAGTTTCAGGAAAAAAGATTCGCTCACTTTTTGTCCTGATACATTTATATAAAAACCTGAAAATGAGCTGATCAGATTTTGGCCACTTTATGATGTCATAACGATTTGTTGGCTTGTGTAACCATTAGCCAATCACCAACCAAGGTAACCCCCCCCCCACCTTATCACCTCCTAGAGCACCGTGTTATTTTTAACCAAATCTCTCTCAGAGGGGCGTGGGGAGTGGCTCCTTATTTTCATCTGAAGTAACAGACAGAGAATCAGCACTTTTGAAACAGGGCTGAAACAGAGGGGATTATGGGATGCTACAATGATCTGTTTGGTGTTTGGAGCCAAACACTTCAGAGACATGTTTTCTATATATCTGAGACCTATAATATATTGATGAAAAACAGTATAATAGGGGACCTTTAATAGCAGTTTAAACATAAAAGTAATATGGACACTATCATTTTTTCCCTTTACATGTGTCATGGTCGTAAGATATGAGAGTTCCTTAAGGGGAGTCCTGGATGTGGATCGGGCCCTCAGCTGTTCCTCCCTCAGAGACTTTGAGGAAACTCTGTCCTGCTCTAGACCTCCAAAAACCTCTCTGAATTCGGGACCTGATTCTCCGAGGGTCCTGGCCCCCTCAGTGGCCTGGGCCCTGGGCGAGAGGGCCTACCCAGCCAAGGACTGGGACAACTACTGGGAGAGAAACGAACCTCTGAGGGATGCAGATGAGGTGGGGGTCCCTGTGCTCTGTATCTGCAGCCAGGACGATCCTCTCCTCCCACCGGCCTCCACTTTGCCCCTTCCCCTTTTCCAGAGCAATCCATATTTCCTTTTAGTGCTGACAGACAGAGGCGGGCACTGTGGGTTCACTCTGGAGGGCCCAGAGGAGACAGAGGGGGGGAGGACTGGGAAGGAGGAGGAGGGGGAGGGAGGTAACTGGAGTCATATTGCAGTTCTGGAGTACTTTAGAGTAGTCGCTGATTTCCTGAAAGGGGAGGAGAAGGATGGGGAATATATTCAGGCAGGGCAGAGGAGCAGGACCAGCAACATGGCCCCCCCCCGCAGGAGGAGAGCCAACGTGATGAGGAGACAGAGACTGCAGCCGACTGAAGAGAGGAGTGGGGATGAAGAGGAAGGAAACTTCACCTGGAAGAGGTCAAACACCCACTGAGGAGGAAGAGAAGGGGAAGGGGAAGGAGGGGATCTGCAGAGAGACATTCTCAAGTTATTTCTAAAGCTGCAGTTTTATGATACAAGATTTAAAAACAAATGAAAAAGTAAATCATCCAAAATACAATAAGGACAGCAGATTAACATTACCATTTACATTGTATAACATTTAAATGTATAACATATAATGACTGAATGAAAAAATATATGCAATATATTGAGGTTACGTTTTTTCCAAAGCTTTAAATACTTCCCTCATGCTCCTACTGTAACACACACAACAACCATGGGACAAATAAATATTAAAATTACTTTATTACAGATGATTCTTTATCCAGTAGCCCTCTTCAAACAAAAAAAAAATGAAGTAATTACAAACAAAATATTACATTTATCCCCTAAACTTCTTTGCTTCTGAATTTATTTTATACATTTTAAATCACTTTGTCATCTGTAAGGAATAGCTCTTCACTTCTGCGACATTCAGCTTTTTGCACAATCTATACAATTTAATACAGTTTAATACAGGTCTCTGGACTACGGAGAATAAAACGGCAAGATCCACCAAATGACAGGAGAGATAAAGGGAATACTGATACAGACTGTACAGAGACGTAGCCCCGCCTCCCGCCTACTTTCAGCCAATGGCAGCCGTCCCTCTGCCACACTGCGGGGATCACAGTAGACACTTTAATCTGGACAATCACTTGTGCAACTTGTGCAACTGATCCAGTTCAGAGGGCCGAGGTCTAAAACTAGACTCTGCCCGGCTGCCTCCAAAACACCTGGGAGCTCCAGTAAACATAAGAGAAGGTTTTAAAATCGGCAACGGCCCTCTGCAGACGTCACCTCAAACATAACATGACCTTTTCTGGCATAAAAGGAAATAAAACACTCGTTGTGGTGTAATCGCATATTTGTTCATGGGGAAAACCACAATCTGTTTTCAAGTGTCTATTCATTCTGAGAGCTGGGAGGTACGCTTTGAGGAAAATAATAATAGGCTACTATAGTGTAATGTGAAAATGCTTTTTTTCAAACAACGTAAGAGTGTCCATGTTGAAGAAATCCAGGCATAATTATTATCACTTTAGTGACCCTTTGTAGATATCCAACAACAGATATATTTACCATCTTGTGCAACAACGTGGGTTTTGCAGCACATACACATTTTTGTTTTATGCAACCAAATGTTGTAGAATTCAGCACGTTTCCAGGTTCAGAGATCTTTAAAAGACAGTTCTTTCTTTTTGTCTATGTTATTATACCTTTGCCTTTCAGCTAGTCTTCAAAGAAAAATCAGGAAAACCTAAATATACAGGGTGAGTGAGTCTTCTATAATGGGTCAGTAAAATATAACTAGATCTCAAATTATGTGCAAAATCTTCCTCATTCAGCATGAAACTAAATGTTGCCATTTACTCAAGGCAACCTGACCTACAGTAGAGTCGTGTTGTTATCATTCTCAACAGAATATCTGTAACAGCTTTGAATACTCGCAGTAAGACAGTGATCTGAACACCGCTGGTCGAAAACCACATCACTGTGTCTGCATCACAACTAGTTCATGTGTCTTTGATTTGTCCGTTAGATTTCCATATTTTCAACTCAAAATATACAATATTAACAGGTTTCCTGTACATTCCACCTCTAAAAATCATACAATGCATAATATCTGCATTTTACAATAAGACTTCCACCTCTCTTTATTTCTCTATAATCCTTTTTTATAGATTTTTATAATAAAACATGTATTTTTTTCTTCTTCTTTTCTTCCTTCACTTAAAGCGCTCTTTCCAAATAGATCAGAGAGGGGGTGAAGCCAACACCAGGCACTGGGGGGGGGGGGGGGGGGGGGGGGGGGGGAACAAGGGTGTAGGGAATCAGGAGGTTGAAGGTCAGAATATACCGTCGGGGGTCTCGGGGGGGTGAGACAGAGCGGGACGTCAGACCAGGGAGAGGAGCAGGGGCATAGCAGCGGAGATCACAGCATCACCGCTAAACCTCCAACGACATTCAGCACCGACCAACTCTGTAAATCTAGTTCTTTTTTTATTTTCTAAAAACACTTAAAGACATTTTAAGGCAACTGAGATGGATATTGTTGCTCATTTACAGCCATTTCTAAGTGCCTTAAAGATCTTTTATGTCCCATTGCATTTTCTCAAATGTTACCCCGTACATGCATCTAACAACAAGTGTGCAAAGGGACATACTGTTGGAATAAAAAACACTATTATATGTATGCATGTGTGTGTGTGTCAATCTGATTATCAAGTGTGGGTGAAGGCCTGCGCAAAAAGTGCAAGTCATTGTTAAAGTCACGACCCCCTGTGGTTAAGCCCTGCTCGAGTGTTCTTGAGGTAGACCAACAGGCATGGTTACATTTGTCAGAGACGTTTTTTTACTGCGCAGTGCATCGCTTTTAATCACCCGCACAGGGCGCAGTGTTTAGAGCCGGAATATTGACTGCAGAAAAAGAAGGATTAAACACTAATATTGATTATTTTGAAATAGAGGTTAGGCGCTGCTGAAAAACCACCCCCGTCATGAGAGTCCCTCAGACAGGCCTGAGTGAGGAGTGGGCAGAGGACTGTGGAAACCCAGGAGCCGAGATGAAGAGGCCGAGCATGCACAGGAAATGGCTCCCTTCTCTCCTCTAAGCCAGCAACGCATGCATCTAACTTGGCCTAATATTACGCATAGTATTTCAGAACCTCCCAAAACATCTCTGGCACAATCTCATTAAACAGTATGTTGGAATTAAAATGACAAATCTGACTCTGAACGCTTACCATTGGCATCTCTGCAGCCCTACACATTCACTCCTAAATACTAATTCCACTCAAACACTGCACATGGGGATTTCCCCGGTTAGATTCCTCTCTATTTGAGGATAAGCTTATCACGCAGGCTGGAATGAAATATTGCATACTTTTAGCTTTTCGTGACTCTTTGGACGTCCCTGTGCTGCTACCATAAAGTCAGAGATACCCTCAGGTATTCACTTTCAACAACCTTTGTTCTCTTTGCATATCCCTTCCAGAGCTGTCCAACGTCAGACCCTACTCTGCCTCCTGCCTTCTCATTCGTCTGTAACTGCACATAAACAATCATCTCAGTAAACCTTATCAGACCGACGTGATGACATCTCGAGCTGTGAGAGATTTAAGGGAACATATTTTTTAAACGGTATTCTCAAAACTGAACACTGAATGCACCATAATGTGCTAAAGCAACATCTGAAAACATCAGACTTAAAAGAACAACAACCATACAGCAAACTAAATCCTGAATTGAAAAACTCCATGGCAGATAAAAGTAAAATACTACTTTGGGTCTATGGCAACAGAGACTAACATGGCAACACATCCCTGCAGGCTATAGTCAAAGTGACACTGTTGCTGTGGCAAACTGGACATGCCTGTCAGCCATCTTGGATTATTCTCAAGACTTTTGGGTTTCCACAGACTGCTGCAAGCAGAGCGCTGACATCAGACAGCAGTGGGGATGGGAGAGGAACTGCAAGTGTGTGTGAAGCATGTGTGATGCATGCGTGTGTGTGTAGTGTCAGAAGAGGAATCAAACTGTGTGTGTGTGCAGATGTGTTTGTGTGTGTGTTCTAGGTATACGACAGGTGGGATCCGTTTGAAATCTGAGAGGTGATGCTGGCGCTCCTGCTCATGCCCTGTTCATTTCTCCCCCCTGATGACGTCCTCCTCATAGCCTGTGGGCTGTTCCTCACCCCCCCCGCGCCCCCCCTCTGATTCCCCCCCCCGGGGTGGTGGAGGCTCCAGGGTGGCGGGCCCCCGGCCAGCATGGGGTGACCCCAGGGCTGCTGGGAGCTGGAGCCCCCCTGGTGGGGATGACTGTGGTTGCCTCCTGCTCCACCTCCGCCTGGCCATTGGCTCCCCCCCTGAGCCCCCGGGCCACCTGCTCCCCCCCCCCAGCCCCCCGGGCAGTCAGGAGCCAGGTTAGTGAGCACCATGTTGCTGAAGCCCAGCCGCATGGACTCGGAGTCAAACGCCTCGATCTCTCGGGCCTGGCGCTCCAGCAGCGAGCGGATTCTCTCCAGACGCTCGTTTTGCAATGCAAGCATTTCCTCCTCGATCTGCAGAGACGGACACAGCGAACAAATTAATTCAAATGCCAAGTAAGAGTGCAGAAAGAAGAGTCTGTGTTTCTGCTTTGAAAGGACAGTCAACTCTAGAGTGACGACTGCTCGATTATTTTGTTAAACGAACCAAAACACCGATACATATCATATATTCTATTTACATATATAGACTTCTTGCACCATTTTTTATTTTTGTATTCTATTATATATGTTGCATTGTTGGAGAGTCATAAAAATGTCATTGCCATTTCTAAACCGTAGCTTATGTGCATGTGACAATAAAACCTTTGAAACTTGAATAATAAGGAACATAATCTAGATTTTGAACAGAACAATAACAAAAACAACTTAGACGATGAAATAATATGTGCAACCGTCTTAAAATTAACAAAATGATTAACGTCAAAAGAAGGGTCCTTTAACTTACAGACACAGTTCATGAGACACAGAATGTCAACAAAAGGTTCTAACTTTTGAATCACAGCTTAATTGTCTACTGTCACTCCTAAATGACCACGTTTCTTACTTTCTGCTCCAGCAGAGCCCTCCGCAGAGAGACCCTCTGCTCCAGCTCCCTCCTCTCTTTGTCATGCTGCGCGTCTGTTTGCATCTTGATCTTGCTCTGGTAGGCGTTGAGCAGCTCCAGCTCCTGCTGCAGCTGCATCCTCAGAACCTGACACTCCCCCTCCTGAGCCTCGTCTAACCGCAGCTGAGGGCGGGCAAGGGAAAGAGTAAGAAAGACGAGAAGAGAGAAATATACAGAGTCATTCTCAGTAAGCATCAATGCGTTTGTTTCTGGTCCAATGTGCCCAAAGGGACATGTGGTATATTTGAGATCCTGAGGGGTCTTTCAGGAAGCCATAAAAACAGATTTCATTCATTCTCCTCCCTCACTGACGTGGCATGGGACTCAATATTAGTTTATAATTAAGTATGATCATGTACTAATAATTGGCCGGATTTATGTGGGACGTACTGACAATAACAAAAAGAAACAAGTTAATAAATTGTAACATTTACTTTACAGGCTTTAGACCTATTTTGATACATATAATGACTTGTTAGGGGAGAACAGGACAAATATTACCGTGCATGAATACCAGTGTGTCTCAAATGCGTTATTTGAATAATATCAATATTAAGCTAGTTTCAATATGTATCATGTTCTTGTACCGCTGCTTTGTGCCAAGAGAAAATTAAACATTGAGCCATTTGAGAAGTTTAGCTTCCGTGCTAAAAAGGGTAATTTAGAATAACATGTCGTCCACTAATGTGAGGTATTGACAATGTATGGTGTCTGGTTCTGGGAATTTCAATCAAATGTGAGTTTTAAACTAAATTAATTAATTAAGACAATACATTTGTTTGGTTTCCTAGACTCTCTTGCTCTTTACTACTCACAGCCTGCGTAGAGAGCATTTCGTTGATGGAGTGGTCGTACTGCTCGGCCAGGATGGCCAGCTTCCTGGTCTGCTCCTCCTTCAGCCTCTTGAGCACCGCCTTGTGATCAGACTTGGGCGTGGTCTCCAGCAGATGGTTCCTGAGGGCCTTGTACTGCCTGGTCTGGGTTTTACAAGTGTCTTGGAACTGCTTCTTAATCTGAAGCTCCTTAGACTGCAGGAAACAGGGAGAACAAAGTAAAGATGTGGAGTAAGGGACTGAGTTTGTGCAGTAGGGTCAGTAAAGGGGAATGTATCCAATAAATAATCTTCCATGAGTCGCCGCACCTTGAGGCTCTTGGGCTGCTGCCGGACCTCCATCACATGTTTGCGCCTCAGCTCCCTCTCCCTCCTCTTGTTGTACTCCAGCTGGTTGGTGAGCTCCGTCTGGTGCTGGGTCCGGATCAGGTCCGCCCGCGCCCTCTGGATCGTCCCCAGGTGCCTGAACTCCAGCTCTTGCATCGACTCGTGGTGTCTGAGCAGCATGGCGTGCTCCAGGTCCTTCTGTGTCTGCCGTTTGTTCAGCTCCTGGACCAGAGGAGATAATGCTGAGTGACAGCAGTCGAATAAGTCAAATCAATCAACAGAAACAGAGTGGCTGTGTCCTTTCTGTGTGACTGCGTACCTCTCGGGCCAGATCCTGCTCCACATTGTGTCTGGCGATGAGGATCCTGCGTTTAAACCGCCGACACTCCAGCTCCAGGTATTGCCTCTGTCTCCTCAGCAGGTTGGCCTCCTCCTCCGCCTGGAAAGAAAGATTTGTTTACATTGTATTTTCAGTGGGTTTTACATCTTATGCAATCTATATATTCTCCTTTCATCAATATGTATATGTGCATTTTTGGTATTCTCTGTGTTCTCTTGAGTGAGCTTAAAAGGAAATGATATATAACGGAGCGTCCACACAGCAGCGTGCGTTGACGCTTGGAGGTGGGCGTATCTGAAGCTTGGGGATTTTTTGCGAGCAACGCGACCAACAACCAATCACATGAATCTCCCGCCCCCGACATACAAAGCAATAGCAATGTTAAAACGAAGTAAACTGGATATAAAATCCCCAAACAGGCGAAAACCTACCAGTTTCACCCACTGTCTCTGCCACCCTCCCTCCATGCCTCGCTCCTCCGGTTTGTATCCCGGTAGATGAACAGAGACTGATCATACAGCACCGGGTGATTCACTACCGCTATAATGAATTTTCCCTCCATTTTTTGGAATATGAGGAAATGACCTGCGTAGTCTCTCCCAGCATACACGCGGTTTGATTGGCTAGCGCTTGTACTGGCAGATTTGCATAAACGGGATTTCATTGGCTGACGCTTCTGCCGAGGCGCCAAAAGTTGAACATTGCTCAACTTTTGAAGCGAGCAACGCCAGCAACGCTCCACGTCGCTTCCCAAAATGCAGTTCGGCTAAAAGTGACGTCACCCCATTCAAAGTGAATGGGCAGAAGCGTTGAAAGCTTCAACGCACGCCGCTGTGTGGACGGGCCGTAAGAATAAGAAGCCAACACCGATAAGTTACACTCTAAGGAAGATGTTCTGTGGTAGCTGATACATGCATATTTCATTGTCTGTCAGGAAAAGTAGGTTCTAAGGTGTTTATATATAGCCTCATGGACCTAGTGCGTTCGAGGTTAAACACTTTCTGAGTTTTTCATCTTCAAAGATTCTCCATCACTTATGAGGAAAATGAAAAGAGTACAAGAGAATGGAGACCTTGTGACACTACTGTAGTGTTCTATGATTTTAATATGGACATCTGTATTCATATAATGAGTTTTTGCTTTATCTTATCTTTATGTCTGTCCCTGTTTTTATGTTGAATCTATGAGTATTTTCCCTCATTTTAAATCGCTTAGTTTGGCATTGCCTGAATGAATACCATATATTATTATTATTCATAATGGCAGAGATTCTACAGACTTGCCATGTGTTCATATTGTCTGAGAGATCCTGACCTGGAAGTGCTGGATGTTTTCTTTCTGCTTCGACAGCCACTCCTGCTTCTCCTTCTTGGGAGTCGACTGGTTCTCGCTCAGTTCCTGCCACACAGGTGCAAACACGGGTGTTATGTTGTTTTCCTAGTGTTTCAGGGCGGTGGCATTACTGGTCTTTATGGATGTTATAGTTTGTAAACCTATAAAAATAATTAGCAACAGTTCAAACGAAGACCCATACATTTCAATGTCTGCACAGTATCATTTATATTAACTAGAGTTGAAACAATGAATAGATAGGTAGATAGAACAATAATCAGCAACTAATTCATCATGTTTCAAGAAAATATATCTTGTTCCAGGTGTTTACTAAGTACAAGAATATATGACATCATTTGAGTTGTTTAGGACAAAGGGTTCATAGGTTGTGTTGGAGATGTGTGTTTCAGGTGTGTAACCTCTTTGAGCTGCTCCTTGCGTAGTTTATACTCTCGCTTCTGTGACTCCAGGAAGCTGCTGAGCTCTTTCTTCTGCTGCACCTGGATGTGCTGCTGGAACTTCTTCTCATCGTTGGTAAACGTCTTCAGCTAAACCAAAAGTTGGAGGAGCATTCTTTAAAAACAGTAGTAGTTAGATATCAGTGTCAGTCTACCACTGTATATTTCACATGTCTACATACGTCTTTGTCCAGAGCCGCCTGGTGTTTTTTAAGCAGCTTCTCCATCTCCTGGTTGAAGTTGTTCCTCAGACTCTCCAGCTCTTTGTCCAGCCTCAGCCGGTGCTCATCCATCTCCCCTTTCAGTTTGTTCTCCATGCCCATCAGGAGCTTCTGGTGTTGCCGTCTCATGCGTTTGTATCCTGACATCTGCTCCCGCAGCTCCGAGTCCTGCTCGTGTTCCTGCATCTCACGGGTCACCTGCGTGATGGTGACACAGCAGAGAATCAGCACAGACCATCTACATTCAGACTGTTTGAAAATGTGTGCTAAAATATTGTTTGTACAGGGGGGAACATACGCCTTGCTTAAATGCAAAGGTATAACAAAAATACCAAATGTAGAACATTTCTAATTGTCTCACAGCGTTTTGTCAAAGAAATCTTGTCGTCTCGGTTAAGCTGCCACATTTAAAAGAAACAGTGATATAAGTATATGCATGGAGGAGTGTCCTTACGAGTGATGCTGTGCGTATGGTGGCGAAGTGCTCTCTGTTGCGATAGTACTTCCTGGGAACCGGAGATGATGCTGGCTGGGGCTCAGAGGGTTCACTGGGGACTGCCTGATCCACAGACAAACTCTCCTCCTCTTCCTGGAGAGATAGAATACAAACATCTGGATAAATAAAGGTTTGAAATGAAACATAAAACTAAATATAGCACATTATCTTGATACAATAGTTAACAAACTAAAAAAAGCATTGGGGCCTGGGGAGGTTTGGGATAGATGAGGTTAAGACAAACAAACTCAAACATTACAGAAACAAAGTGTTTGGTCTAACTTTAGGTTGGTGTCTCAGACTCCTGGGAAAAAGCTCTAACTGTACACCCTGCCCTAACGTCTTACCAAACATCATTGTTTATAAAGGAATCGGTCATTTGTGTTTAGAGCCTTACAAGAGACTAATTGATAGTCCAAATGAATGCAGCAGAGCCGAGCTATCCTGACTTTTAGTCCATAGTATGGGTCAAACTCAAAAACACTGGACCCTATATTTCATTACATCTTCTCTGAATGGTGTATATCCATGTCTTTCAAACTTGAAGTCCCAGCTGTGTTATTCATATGTTATATATAACATCGTTTTCTTGAAAACGCGCATGTGTCGGTGTCACTCCACCCACCGGTTTGAGGTGTATGACGGAGCTGTTGGACATGACGGTGTGGTCTCCCTCCATCAGGTCCAGCTCGCTGCGGCTGTCCTGCGCCGCCTCGTTCAGGCTGTTGACGGAGCTGCTCTGAGAGCTGGCGCTGATGGACATGCTGGGGATGGACTGGTTGCTGCCGACACTGTTCACTGTTCCCGTCCGACCCCCCCCCGGATCCAGCTCCTGGAGGCAGAGAGGAAGAAGCCAGGAGAGAGAGAGAGAGAGAGAGAGAGAGAGAGAGAGAGAGAGAGAGAGAGAAGAGAGAGAGAGTAGAGAGAGAGAGAGAGGGAGAGAAAAAAAAGAAAAAAGAAAGAAAGAGAGAGAGGAAAATTAAAGAAAGAAAGACTAAACAAAGACTAAGGAACTCTCCCTCTATCCCAACTCCCTCTCTCTCTAGCCTCCCTACTTCTTCTCTTTCCATTTCTAATCTTCTATCTCGCCGCTCTCTCTCCGCTCTCGCGCTCCGCTCTGCTATCTCCAGAGGCTCCCGATATGCGAAGATTCACCCGAAAGGACCACACCGAGCCACAGACAGACTGCATAGAGACCAAAGCATGGTTATCTTGTCAAAACACTCATAAAGGCGGCAATATCTGACTGTTTCTGCGCTTTAAAAAACGACCCATCTTGAATGTTTGATTCTAATTCGCAAACACATCACACAAACATCATCTCCCTCCTGGACTTCTGCAGCGGTGTTCCGTTCGTGGGGTCTCCTGAAGGAGGATCTTTCTTAATTTGCGCGTACGCAGGTTGTCAAGCTCTCGCACTGCATCCTGGTCCTCAGAGAGATCCATGAGAAACCGAGTCCGGACGCTCGCGCTGCAGAAACGCATGCTGTAGACGTAGGTGAAGAAAAAGGATTAACTGAGAGCTACGGAGATCATGTTGTGTTTCTTTAAAATAAATTCCTCAAATGTAACGGGTAGAAGCGGTTCAATGTCTCAATAAAGAGCGCTCTTGTTAAGCAAACAGTGCTTAATTATCTATTAGCGATCTGGTCAGAGACCGGGATTCAATGAGCAGTCAATTGATTTGCAGGGAAACTAAAGAAAGGAAGGGCCTGTATTAGGGGAAGACAGCTAACACTGTTACAATGTGTTTGTGGCTGTTTATCCAACATCCCTAATGTTAGTCATGCTGTACGATCATTGCTAACTGTCTAATACAGTTAATCATGCAGAAGATGGTACTTTCTTTCAAATTGACAATTAAATGACACAAATGTAACATTGAAATCCAGGAATTTCTTATTAAGATTAGCCTAACTCTCCATGTACTCTGCTAGAAGGTAAAGTTGGGCCAGATATCCGAACGTGGAGCATTACATTAAGAAGCAGCAAAATGCTTACATAGTTAATTTACAAGAACTGTTTTGGAACTTAATATTTAAGAAAAACAGTGTGTAAGCTTCTGTACACAAAGGACAAATTCCATTAAGAATAGTGAGTCCATTAGTGGGCTAAGTGACAGCTGCCCAGTTACTTAACCATGGACGTAAAAGCTGCATCTCTTCAGTAATTACATCCGTGGTTTTTCTACCAAATCGAACTCGCTGTGTGTGTTTGTGTGTGTCGTGTACATTTCCAGAAGAAGAGGATTAGTGAATTAAAATAGAAGCTTATGTGGACCAGAACAGAGCGAGGACATAAGAGAGATTTATCACCAGGGGGCTTTGTCAATCTCCCATCTTAGCACTCTGACCCTGCTTTCTGTGTGTGTGTGTGTGTGTGTGTGTGTGTGTGTGTGTGTGTGTGTGTGTGTGTGTGTGTGTGTGGTCTACAGTGTGTGTTTGTGCACTTACACCCAGCATGTCGTCAGAGTGTGGTCTGTCCTGGGGGATTTTCTGAAGGCAAGAATCGATAAAGTTTCTAAAGTAATCCGTCCTGGAAGAAAGGTCACGAGAGAGAGAGAGAGAGAGAGAGAGAGAGAGAGAGAGAGAGAGAGAGAGAGAGAGAGAGAGAGAAATGCAAAAGTCATTTTGTAAAATGAAATACTTCATCTGAGTTATTAAGAAAAAAAAAAATTCTGTAAAATATGTGTTACTAACTAACATGGAAAAATGTTTGCGAAAGATCATTTAATTACCCTGTCAATGACCCACTTTTACAAAAGTGTGTGTACATGTGTATGTGTGTGTGTGTGTGTGTGTGTGTGTGTGTGTGTGTGTGTGTGTGTGTGGCATCTTACCATTCACTGGATTGCAGTGTGGGGCTCTCATTCTGCGCTATGTGGTATAAGGCACTCATTGCATTCATGTTAAACAAGGGAGGCTTCCTCTCCGCTGAAAAGGAAATGAAATCAATCGGTGTGTATTCCTACCTATTCAATTAAATGTCCATCTACTTAGGTAACTAAAGGTTTCAGATATATGTTTTGCCTTTTTCTACTGATATAGACCTGTAATTCTGCTGAGTGTATAAATCTTACTATTTTACCAACATTTAAATCAAACCAATCCATCAAACAAATATTGGTCAGATAACATTACTTTATTTTATGTTAAGAATCCGAGCAAACCGTTAAGATCGGATGTTAGGCCATGCCATAGTAACAATTGGAATTGAATGAAATCCGTTGAAATATATTTTTTCCACCGTAATTCCATTTTAAAAGATAAAAGGCAAATTGTTGCCACCTACCTAACTCTATACAGGTGATCCCTAAGGACCAGATATCAATCTTCCCATCATACTGGCCTTCATCCATGGCTAGAATCACCTCCGGGGCCATCCTGCAGCATAAACAAAAACAAAAAACATTTTCTTTAAATAAAGGTTATAATATTGAGTTCCAAAATCACAGGAACAGATCATTTGAATTCATCAGCAGGACGGTTTCTACTATGCAAATAAAGGTAGATTTGACCAATCCATTTCCTGAATTAGTGCTTCTTTGAGCTGAAACCTAAAGTAGACAGTCGATTGTGTAGCAAAGTAAACATTTTGGTAAGGTTCACATTTAAACCATAGACATAAAAAACCTTCAGTTTTCACTTACCAATATGGCGTTCCCACAAAGGAGTTTGCAGGTGAGGCGATGGAGGCGGAGCCAAAGTCGGCCAGTTTAACCAGCCCAGGCTCAGTCAGCAGAATGTTTCCTGCCTTCACATCCCTACGAGAGAAAAACACACAGATGTGAGAGAGCAGGACATTTGGTGTTGTAACATTCTTAAAAACAATATAGGTAAAAATCCCTCACCTGTGGATCATATTGTGGGAATGAAGGTAGGCCAGCCCCTGCAGAGCACCGTGTGTGATGGCAGCGATCTCTACTTCTTGTAAAGGTTTTTTATGAACTGAAGGAGAAACAACAGTTTCAGCAGGAATAAACACCAGCTGAAGAAGACACATCAATTCCCATAATCCTTTTCTGTGAGCAGCGTGCAGCAGCGACTTACCCTCCAGCAGATCGGAGGCTGAGCCCAGGCAGTACTCCATCACCAGCTAGAAGAAGAGACAAGGTGAAGAAGAGCCATGTTCTGACACATTGCACACTATATGTGTCCATAAGAGTGCGCTCAGTAGAGGACACATCTCCCCTTCCCCACCAAACAAAGAAGAGTTGAATCTCACTTAATTGTCCCTCCCAAGAGTCAAGACTGTGGCAAACACAACAAAAACGAGGATTTATTTATCTGTATGTTGCCTTGCTTTAGTTTATCATAACATATCAGGTGTAGAACTGATATGGAGATGTTCTGGTACAAAAGTGTGCCAAATATACACCTGTCTAATCTTCTCGTAGTAAATAATGATAAACCAATTACTCACCCATGCCGTGTGCTCTCGGAGGTAACAACCTTTGTATTCTATACTGTTAGGGTGCCGGATCCTCTGGAGGAACTTCACCTCCTTTATAATGTCCTGCCATTTCTGTTGAAAGAAAGAAGGGATTTAATAATAAAACAAGCAATGCATTGCGCGGCTTAATACTGTAGAGGTGCTTGCATGCGCCCTTGTAGAAGATTGTCTTTCAGTAGAAATAGGTGTACGGTGGTTCTCGTCACAGATTATGTGTAATCTGATTACAGCTAATCTGAAATCATGAGCAGGGGGAACTGTGTCTGAGACAACAACAGTGAAAGTGAGCGCACAAGGGTGACCTTTCCCCATCTGACATGAATATTCATGGAGGATATCAGCACTCCCGTTTGTGGCAATCATTCTTATGAGGATATATATTAAGATCTTGTACTGTTTGAATGTAGCACAGAGAGCAGCCACGTTGATCTGAGGTGTGTTCAAGTGCACAGAAGTTATGGTATATATAAATAATAAAATAATGATTCATTTAATGAAGGCCACTTTAATAAGAGAACTAAGTAAAGAATAACGAGTTCATGCTGATTGACCCCCATACTGTGTGAAAGCGTTTATACTAAAGGTCTAGAGTTATATATACATATCAATCTGGTCTCACCTCATTAGACTGTTTGCCATTGTAGGACATCTTTTTAATTGCCACCACTTCATTTGTGCGTATATCCCGTGCCTGGGAAACACAAAGAACATTGTCAGTACACATTTCAACCGTAACATAATAAACTTTGAATCTGTTTAAATGTTCCTGTCATCAAGGATGTGCATTATCAAGACCTCCTGTACTTTTTCAACCGTATTGTGTGCAGTGTTAAAGAACTAAAGTCAGATCAGAACGCTATGGTAAGACACATTACTCTGAACATGTGTGATATTTAACTCCATTATAAACATTTTCAAATCCCTTCAGTAATTAAATAGCTTCATCTTTTATAATTGTGAAAAGATCTCTAGTGAAGAAACTGTATTTACTATCATTTACCCATTTATATCCCTGATAATCTATAATCGGTAATAACCCTATAAAGGATATTTCTCCGTGTATGAGTCAGTGTGAAGATGTAGTTTCCGTACAAAGTAGACAGCGCCAAAGCTGCCATGGCCAATCTCTCGGAGGTCAGAGTAAAGCTTCTCTGGATCTTCTTTGAAGAAAAGCTCAGCCACATCTGGGTCCTTCAGGCTCCCTGCCCGTACGGAGGCGGGCATCATGGGTAATGTAGTCCCTTCTCTCCCACGCAGAGGGGATGGGACTATCTGGGTGCTGAGCTACACCAAAGCAGCTGAGGATTCATCTGCCGTAATGGGTGGGCCTGAGGAACCAGCACATGGGCAGCTACAGGGACAGAAGGGGAGACAAAGAGAGAGAAAAAGAGTTTAAGAGATAACATAGCATGATCCAGCACAGCATGAATTATGCATTCGCTCGACGGATGCGAGTTTAAGGAAATAAGTCAAAAGACAGGAATTGAATGGAGCGGAAGAAAGTCTTAGCGCAACTTTGATATTGCAACACAAATCCAAATCTACAACAGAATAGACTCTAGGTCAAATGTGTATCAAAGACGTTTTGATCCATTTGACCACATCACAGAACAAATATACTTTACAAAAAAACAAAACATAAAAGGTCTTGAAATAGGCCGTTGAGGCTGCAGGGCTCCAGAACAACTCTGACCACAGTGAAGCCAGTCTATAATGTTCTACTTCAGTGCTTTCATATGTTCATGCACAGAATTTGCCCGGCTACAAACATTGATAAAAGGAGGAATTTTTGCCTACATAATGTTCTCCATTTTCAGTAAACACCTTCTGGTTTGTATTGTGTTTGAGAAGATTTTTGTTTTAAGAATGAGTATAAAAATGCATTAAACTTAAAGGTGACCCCAGTCCTGTGAGTAATGACTGACATCACACTGGCTAAAGAAGACATGTAAAGGTTTTCTTTCATAGTCACACCTTCAAGTGCTGACCCTAATATAATCACCTCATTGCAGAGTCATCACGAGTGTACGGGTACAGAGTGCTTCAGCAATTATTGCAGGACTGTAAGGAACTGGAATGACTGGGCAATGCAAATATTCCAGCTCAGGGATCGATTTCATGTCCGCTGCGATGAGGTGGCCTACAGTAATGAGGTTTGAGCTGCATCGGGTGATCAATTAGGGGACCTGGGGTCAGATCCTACTGTGTACTCAAAAGTGGTTCCATCCATTTTCTTCCAGTTAATTCATAGAACACGCAATTGCGTATGTGCGCACATGCAACTATTTGTACAACATACTCATGATGCTGAGTGTATGTATTTCCCACATTGTAACTTTGTACCTTATCATTTCCAAAGATATATTTTCTTGGAATATACATTTGTAACACACAAAACAAAGACAGCTATACCAATGGGGTTCATATTATATTTCATACAAATAAACATGTCATTGCTCGATGTCCTACATTGCAGAAGGGACACAGCAAGGACATGCATGTGCTCTTTTACAAGTATACATTCTGCTTGTATTTCTTTGGTAGCATTACCTTTTTAAGTTTAATAACTGAACTGTCAATGTTGTAGCTTTCACTCTCGATCTTCTATAACTGATTGACAGTTATTTAACCATGCTTGCAGATCCATTTTCTACATTTCAACACATTGAAATGTATAAAGCATTTTCCTTTAGTGCTATTCATATATTTAAAAAATAAACACTGATATGCAGCCTTGGATAATTATTCCACTTTTTATAACCAAAGTTCTATCTTGTCTTCAGTGCAGGCAGCCACCCCCTCCACACCTAAACACCACACCAATACCATTACAGAAAGACTCCGTGGAGAAATGTTATCTTTGGGTCTGCAGCCTGCTAACCTAGCCTGATACAGCTATCAGCACAGCTGGAGGCTGCACTAAAACCACACTCCTGGTTTCTGTCACAAGGTTTGTCCTGCCAGAAATGGCCATCCAGCTGACCGAGAGAAAAAAATGAATGCAAGATCACACAAGTGAAACCTGGATACCAAGATGCAGCCCTCGAATCCCAAATGTCTTAGTGAAGAGAAGATAAAAACTGCTGCTGGGAGCAAACTTTAGTAACATGAGCATAGATCCAGTGTTTGTGTTGGACAGTGAACTGAAAGTCTTTCACATTGTTGTCGAACTCTGGAGCTATATAATAAGCATTGTAGGTTAATATATATTATTTGTCTGCTGAATTTGTGAGAACGACGTAGAACTTTGACCTTTAAAGTTTGAAAGAAATCTTTTAAATCAAACTAAATATTCAGGCACAGGAGTAGGGAGGTTTTTGTAATCTTTAATAGATGATGTGCGTGATGTAATGCAAGCATCGTCTTATTCTGTAAAGACACGCCATCCAATATGATTTAGTCGTTGTAAAAAGTTTAAAAGCAAGCAGGCTTGCATAGCTCACCATTTGCATTTCATAGGCTGCAAAAAACATTCAACAACAAAAAAAGTGAAATAAGGCAAATTATTGTTTTTAAAAATCTAAAGGCACACAGACAACATATAAGAAATATATGTTTAACTACATTATGGGTTCAAGCTATAATGCAAACATGGAGACATTTCACTTTATTATATGAACAGACAGACATAGCTGCGTCTGTGTTTCTTTGTTTTGAAAAGCAGAAATCACACTAATAAACACAGCATGAACATCAGCAGCAATAGAACAAGAATATTTATACTCATATTTTCTGTACTTATTTTAGAATTGTTTTACCACCTACCATGTGATTGTACTTCCTCGTAAACATTAGGCTGACTCAGCAGCACACACTCACTTATGGCTACAATGTGTGGCCATGAAATCATTTTGTTTCGCCAGCCAACTACATCTAGTTTAAAATCGTGTGAGCTTTTCTGGTAAATGTGCCATTTCAGCAGCAGTTACCAAACTTTAAACACTCCAAGACACGTGGATGAATTAACTTCTATTACTAACATGGAGGTAACTAGATACAATAGGATGCAGAAGAATGTCATGGGAGTTGCATTTTGTCTGAAATAAGCCACATTTTCTTTGACAAGCCTGCTATATGGTTACGTTTTCAAATCTTAAATATATTTTCAGCATTAAAGCACTAGTTTCTTTAATGTTCTCATGTAAATAATACCATCTCTAGACCTTTTCTCTTATATAAAGAGTCCACGGTGATTCAGTGGACTGAAGTGCGTGCAGCACTTTTGCAGCATCATAATAAAACATGTTCTCAGAGATGGAGGGCTTATTATTGACAAGAGACTGAATTTAAGAGCATCTTCCATCTTGGTTTCCTAATTTGATTTCCTAGTGAAACTGGATCATTGAATTGGTAAAACAAGGGGCGGAAGACATAACTCAAAAGCAAAACCAAATAAGACAAATTATTTAAGGAAAGAACGTCATATTTCTTGACGAGAAAAAATAAAGTTTGTCAAAAACTCGTTTTATTGTTTGGAAATAATGAGATAATAGTTAAACTGCTTTATGACACAGAACACTATGTTCTAAAAATGCAATGAAAGTTGTATTGCTTTACCACGCAAGAAAATGGATCCCCTCCTTGTGTATTATGTGAATTGATTTTCTCTGCACTGTAAACTCACCAAGAGGCCTAATGAAGAGGCAGCCAATACACCAAGCTGAGTAGCAGAGAGTGATACAGGCAGGAAGAGAGAGAGAGAAATGGAGATGGATGATAAATAATCAAATACTTTATTGATCCCTATTGTGAAATACTCCTATACTCTGTACTCCACTGGGTCAGCTACAGAGGAGCAGAATAGGAAAAGCCATCCATCCCAGTTCCTTTACATTTTTGCTGTTAACAATTCATAACCAGTAGCATTTATGAACACATTTCTGTTGCCATCAATAATCTGAATCCGATGGAACACTTTTGTTTGGCCAAATTCAACCAGGCCCTACTTCAACTGGCTGTAATGAGGTTTTTATTTTGTACTTATTGTCGTTGATTTTGCCTCGTCTCTGCATACTGTACCTAACTATCACCTTCCTGACTCTCCTGGTTGTGCTGCACCTGCAGAACAACTTGCCACGTTATGATTATTTTAGGTACATGGAGTTGACCTCAGCAAAGCTTCAACCTTAAACGTGAACTTGAGAAGAAATCAACCAGAATCGCTGATATCACCTGTGTGGGAGTGTGCAGTGCCTTTAAATAAACTGTTATTAGTAGCCATTTTGATTCGCTTCATCTCACACACCAATACCCATCTGAACAGAATAGATATGCTACATCAGTGTGTCTCAAACTTTTTCATACCAAGGACCACTTAACCAATAAAAAAACACTCTCGGACCACCTAACTCCACAAATATCAAAAAACACATAGTTTTTTTAGAACAGATTACAAATCACCTGAAAATGGTACAAACAAGTTGCAACATGTGTGATGAAGGTGTTGCGCTGGGCTATATCATGCAATTGAAAGTGAAACTTAACCTCGCTCCATTGCGGAGATATTCCCGCGAGAGTGCGGAAAACTGAAATTTATTTATTTATTTCAAATGTGAAATGTTACCAATATACTCACGGACCACTAGGGGGCGCTCACGGACCACCAGTGTTCCGCGGACCACACTTTATACTTCTCATACTTTTCAAAATGTACATCAGCAACATTGTAAACGGCTGTATTGCTAAATAATTCAAAGTATGAATGCAGTGAGCGGAAACATCTTATTAAATGACCGTGCATTAGCCAGATGTGACCGATCCACATGAAATACTTTAAATCTGAAAAGTTCACAAGCATCAAAATCAGCTGATATTCTGAATTGTGCCATCAATTACCATATCAGAAAATAAATGATGGGTTAGGTGGATTAAAGATCTGATTTCAAACGTCCATTTAAAAAAGCACTGCGACATCACAGCTGTTTGTTCAGTGACAATGTTCATGTCATGACCTACACTGTTGTTCTACTGGCTAACACACTGCATGTCTATCCCCAAAGATGGAGGGTGGGGTGTCCTGCTCCTGTTCCCCGGCTGATTACAGACTGTGGCTTCTGCTGAGTGGAGGAAGTGAAAGCTCTGTAGCTACCCAACGTCAACAACACATCCCGGTTGTGGTACTTTAAAGATGATGGTGACAGGGAAGAGGAACGGGGGGAACAAACACTAAAAGGATTTGACCCGTCCCATTTCACTCACAGAGCTCCATTTACACTCTTCCTGTTCAGATAAATGTCGTGAACAGCAGACACTTGAGTAACAAAAGACACCCTTGCTGTGGCAACTTAAACAACAAGACATACAGTACAGACATCCAAACATACACGTTTACAGAGTCATCTCAGTGAATGACAGAATAATTTTGAAATGTTGCAGCTTAAATTTATCTAAAACAATTCGAAACAAATTGAAGACTGAACCTGATGAAGATCAAGATATTCAAACTTATATTTGCATCCTTACATTTCAGAAAACAGCAGAACCTCAATATTGTGGAGTTTTGTACAGTATGCGTGCTCTGTTGTATCACCTTAAACATACTGTTGCTTTGCCAATTCTCCGCATTGTTGTTCTTGCTCTAAGTCTGACTCATCAATTATAAGATTGGTTTCCATCTGTTCAGCAGTAAGAATTGAAAATATAATTTTAAGGAAAACTTTCTAAGTTCAATATTTGCAATTGCCATGTCACTGAATGGTCACTGTCAGCTGGGTCTGTCAACACAGCTGGATGCTGGGGATCACTGTCATTTGCTTAGCCATGAGTTTTGACAGCTGTAAAGGAGCTTAAATACAATAAAGTCACTGTTGCATTTTAATCAGTAAGCTAAATAAGGTTCCTTGTTTATCACTCACAGCTACAATACATATATCAATTATCAAATAACTAAAACAAGGTTATGGTAGCATTACTGCATTGGATCATATTATGGAAAAACACCTCTTCTGCTGAGTGGCTGTCACTGATTTGGATCTGGATTCAAACAACCAGGGCTTCGCTTCAGTATCTAATCCATTTTTATTTTTAGAGACACTTACATCCATTATGCAGTATTTCCACATTCAGCACCCCCTGGTTTAACAGTGACACACAAGTAAACCCAACTTTGCATAGCCTTCTTGTGCATCAAGATTTAATTTCCTAACAGTAAGTCCTTGAAGGTAAAAAAGGGCAGCTGCTCCTGCAGATTAGTGCACCGTTGTTTGGACAAGCCTGCAGAGGCACACATGAACAATTGAAAGGTGTGCAGATCAGGCACAGGTTAGAGAGAACATAGGACAACAAGGACAGGCAGCCTGGCAAAGATCTGTGATAACAGGGTAATAGGACAAGTCGTACAGAATGAACAGATTGTCCATTTGATTATTACAGCCTATGGCATATAGGCTGTAATAATCAAATGGACAATCTGTTCATCGCGGTCTAAAGACACCAACAATGATAGGTCGACTATTCATACTGCGATGATTATTTAACAAACAAAACCCGTAGATGGCATATCAACAATAAAGCATGAGTAGGTGTCAACCATCAAACCTTAGACATCACATTTGACAGACCACCACTCCAACAGACTGCAACGTGTCTTGTGAATAGTAACGTGTTTTTAACCTTGTTCAAAGTGTTATGGTAAATCCTATTGTAGCTGATACACTGTGTTCAGAAGCGAAGTCACAGATAAGCCAAGCAGAAGAGTAGCCTGCCGAGCGATAGCTAGTGTTACGCAATATCAACACAGAAAACTGAGGAATGCGACTCACGTCAATGCACAAAAACAGCTATCAGCGGCAGATGGATGCGAGCACTCCTCCTCGCTTACACAAAGATAACCACAATGACTTGTCAGACTCTCCTCAGCTTGTAAACACAATGCCAGGATGTGTACGTGCGAAATACATAGTAAGAGTATTGACCAATGTCACCTACCGTCACAGAGCTAGCTATCCAGACAGTATGTGACTCATGGTGTCCCTTACAGATAAGCAAACTTCCAAAACAGACACCTCGAAAGCAGAGTTTCACTTAACGATCAGCCACACTGGACAACAACAAAAACGAGGGAGTGGCACTGCTTGCAACGATAGTTGCATAAAGCGGATTAGCAAGCTAACATGGATAGCTAACGCTTCTTAGGCAAAGCAATCCGTTACCATTATTAACAACAAACCACTCTCAATTTAGCTCGCTAGCCCTGCTCTCTGAGCGAGACTATGTGCTGATGTGTTACACAGGCATTCAAAACAAACACCTTTATGCTAAAGGAGTCTCCGATGTGTCCAGTAAGGCAAACTAAGAGCTGTCAATGCTGCAGACCATACAAGTTGTGACAGCAACTTTTGGTTAGCTGAGGAGCAACAAATACAGTTAGCGGGCTAGCTTATGAGCTAACCTATGTTAAAATTCACTGCAGCATGTTTCAGAACAAAATCTACCCATCGTATGTTAGCAGGAAGCTTTAGTTAACGACCCACTCACCTGGTTAAAAATGAATCCACACAGGTTGACATGTGGGGTGTGAATGGCTGATTAACACGGCAGAGTCAGAGGATGAAATCACAGACGAGGCAATGCAGTCCAGAGAAATCAAAGTGTGAACTCGTTAGCTATTAAGTTAGCAATGCTAACCTAACCACACGAGTGCCCTGCCCAATTTAGACGTTAACGCTGACTTCGAGTCTAGCTTACTTGTTTCAGCAATAACCGTTATCTTTTTCATTTATGCTGGTCGGCCACAGGAGTCTTATATCTACGTGAAGCAGGCTGCCCTGGGCAACGACTGTCTGTCAAGCAATAACTGTCACAACGAACTGGTAGGCAGGCAAGCTACTGGCCAGATAGGCTAGCTGCTAACGTCAGGCAGCAGCCAGTAGCTAGCAAAGTTTCTCTCTTCAATAGGCAGTTCCACAAAAAATGGCGGCGAAGAGATTCACTTCCCTTCAATCGTGAAGGAGTCAAGAAGCAAATTAATCGACAAATGAACAGCGTCGGAGCGGTACAGTCAGCTTAAAGTGAGGCGAGAGTACACGTGTGACAGTTTTCTGAGTCTTGTTGTTGCTGCCCAGCTGTACCCTTCAGGGTAAATGTTGCCCCCTCCCCAATCTCAGTGTGCTACTGCTGTGCCACAACTGCAAGCATAAGTGAATGTATGGAGAGAGCATAATGGACTCTAGAGCAGGGGATAACCAACTATTGGACATTACTCTCTCTCACTACATGTGTTTGTTTTTGCACTTTCTGCCACTGAGCTCTTATAGTGTCTACTATAAATAGCCTGTCGTTTACTCCTAAACGACATTTAAAACTGTTCAGATGTGTCCCTGTACAATAACAGATACAGGGATGACTGTGTAGGGACCACACTGTGCAGTGCATCAGTCCTTGACCCTAGTGTGATGAGAAGAGTTGGTTTTCATCAGAACACCATCATGTATTCTACTAAACAGTAATAGTGTGGACCATGTGTGCTGGCATGTCATTTTAATACTATATGACAACATCCTCTAATGTTGCACTCTTTTAACCCTATGTAAGCAAACATATGTGTAGGATACTTTAATAATCCATTACCTGGCGTGATTTACATGGTTACATGATTTTAAAATATAAAGTATGATTAAACAGTGAAGTGGACTTGCACCAGGTGATGCCATATCCTTTTAGGACGACTCAACCCCCCAGTCCCAAAAACAGGTAAGAGATTGACATGAGTCAATTGATGCACTACACATGTTATCATTTATAAGACTGTCAGCTTCCTACCATTATGTGTTAACATCAGGGAAGCATATATTTGAGTAGCTGAAGCCTATATTGTTTTGTCTGCTCTGCACTCAAAGAGATATATTTCATAATAGTTTCTAGTTCTAGCTTGAAAACAACCTTTTACATGTGACACCGCATCCCAGAGGATTACTCATTTAGCTGTAATCTGCATCCAGAAAATATAGGATATGTGCAATGTGCATGGCAGCAGAGAGGTTGAAAATGGGCATTCCACAACAGGCTGCAGGCTGAGAAACCAATCAGCTCGCAGAACGGAGCTCAGTGGGCTTTCATTGGTTGCTTGGTAGCCCTGTTGTCATGATGATGGGAATCGGGTCCTGCCTGTGTGGTCTGTATCCAGGCACTGAAGCAAATGATATGGATGGATAGGCTGCTGAACTTCCTGTTCCTGGCATGCACACATATGTATATATATATATATATATATATATATATATATATATATATATATATATATCTGTGTGTATATAATGTCTATTTTATTTGTTTATTCAAACTAGAACTGAACATATGTGGGATGACTTCACTTGTTAACACATACTAATACATAATAATCTGTCCCACTCATGCCCTCTAAAGATGCACATTCACAAATAGTTGCTTGTTAAGAAAAATAGTTATAGCATTTATTAGTAAATAGTTGGAATCCCCCAAGCACTTATCTTGTGCAATTGCAACTCCTAGTACATTGAGGACTTTCATTAACACTTACAATGTACAATTGTATTATTTTATTATGATATCAGGACTGAACCAGATCAGTTGTCTTATTTACAATATTCCTATAACCCTTACATTACCTCATGTTTGTCTGTTTTATGAACACATTGTCCACTGACTTTTTACACTAAAAGCCCTTAACTAGCTTTAGTTCCATCACCATCTGTGCCATCCTCCACTACCACATCAAGGCACTCGTGTAAAGGCTTTGGTTTGTTAGTCATTTCAATTCCATTTTCTGCAGGTTATTTGATTTTTGTTTATTTTAATACATTTGAATATTATGAAATCTATCTATATGTACAACAAATGTGAAATTTAAGGATGCATTTTGTGTGCAAAACTACTGTAAGCTTTCTTCAAAGCTGACATTTTGAGATATCACAGATGGAAAGCTGATGATAAAATTAAAGATAGTTTAATTTCATTTAGTTGCCTCAGTTTCAAAGTCCTGGTAATGTGCATACTGTCTCACTATGATGACTTACTTGAATATAAAAAGCCTTGATAGTGTTACTTATGACTTATTCAACATTTCTAGTGAACATTACAATATTTCATGCACACCAATAAGAAAATAACAAAGTGCCATCAAAAGATTTTTAATGATGATAAATGAAAACGTATTATGTGTTAAATTAACCATGTATTTACTACATTTGCTCCTACACTAAAACACTGCAGCAGAGCCACTTAACACAGTAGATTGGACAGAACATTCATTAGCAACAGAACAATAAACCTCAACAGGTTCACAAACACTGAAACATCAACTGCTGATAGAAACTGTACGAGCCAAGCTGAACAAAAAGGTACAAGTAGCAAAGTGGACTAGCCACTTCTATACAGTATTATTTTAAATTAATATTATGAAACTGTGGCAAGTGAATGTATTGCATATGATGAAACATAACAAGATAACACAGGTGTAAAATACTATTACTCTATTAAGAGCCTCCAGACACTGTCTCAAATGCAGACAGAAACACAGACCATAACTCAGTCTCTCTTCAAACTGTCCCAAAAACAGAAATAGTTCCTATGTGTTGAATCTTTTAGACAGTGTATCAGCAATGTATTGCTTAAAGTTGAGGTGACTTTTACAGGCTGTAATTTGTGGCGGTATACTGCATGTATACAAAAGAGAAATACATAGGACCTAAACAAAAAAGACTAACCAGACAGAGGAAAACTGCAATTGGTGATTAATCACATTTGAAAGGTTAAATGCTGTGGTGGTATTAACTGAAAAGATAAAAGAAAGACTGAAGGTAAAGATGAATTAGAAAATAAAGCGGAAAATTTACTAATGGCACTCGATAATAAAGTATCCGACAGTCAACGTAAAGGAGCTAACATCCTAACATATGATCTAAAGCAGACCTGGGTCGAACAGTATAAACAAAATGAAATGAAGGGATAGATGATAGAACAACTGAGTAGTCTTGACATCAAATACCTGTGAATTGGTGTACTGCTCAAAAACAGAAACTAATTATTTAAAAATAAATTCACCAATATGTAAAGAAAAAAAACATGAACATTTCACAAAGGCTTTTTGTCAAATTTTCAAAGTGGAGAAAATGAATCTATGCAGGAAATAAAAGCTCCAAAGCTAAATAAATAATGTGTTTTGTTGTTTGAAATAGTTTTCTTGCATCAGCCAAACTCAATATTAGTATGCAGCTGGAGGGAAAACCAAGGTTACCTATCAGGCAACAAACTTCCTGGGTAAGCAGGAAATGCCATAACCTGCATGAGATTCCTTGGATGTGCCGAGGGTTGCTTTAGGGCCAAATTACCCTCACTACAATCAGCCACTTTTTACAGCACTGACAAAGACCCTCCAGCTGTGCCCACCCTCTCAGCTCTGCTGTAGGAACACAGCAGTCTATGGGCCCTAAGAGAAGTGTGGAAGCGCCAGGTTTGGCCTTCAATACAGTTGTCTTTAATCAACTAAATGACCATTAACACTCTCTTTCTCACTGCCTCATTTTGTCATCAGCCTCAAATGTAATGCCACTTGCAGAGTACACACTCACCAACTAGGTGCAGAGACTCAAGGCTCCAGCCTTTCTGAGACTTCTCAAGTCTCCCTGTCTCTTTCCAGGGGAAGCTCTCTGATCTTAACACATACATACACACACTTCACCACAAGAGGGAAAAGGCTAATTTAACCCACCCTGCTCTCACTACATTTGCTTGATTTTCATAAGAAGTGGTTCTACTCTTTCTTGATCATTTCCTCCTCCTTCTCTGCTCAAGTGTGTCTTCTCTCGTGGCTGGCTGGCAAGCAGGCTTCCACAGTTGGGTTCCTTTGATTCCAGCTTAGCCTGGTTCAGCCCACTTTGGCCCAGCTGAGGAAAGCAGGGATGTCTCGCACTGGGACGTTGCGGGTCAAAGCTTTGACGCGCAGGTTACGGTCATCTGTAAGGAGCACCACTTCCCTTTGGAGCTTCACTGTCCCGTCTGTGTGGGGGACAAGACAAAGATTAGTATCACACACACCTAGATAGCTTTACTCAAATAACATGTTTTCATATGTGAGGAAATGTGAAAACAAATGGCGGTCAATGTTACATACTTCTCTGATCAGGCATGAAATCTTTGGCCTTGTCTTTGCAGTAGTTGAGGCAGCAGGACAGAATCACATCGTCATTGGTACCCTGAGGAAAAACAAAAAACAACGTCACCCAAAAAGTCAATTACCAAAAGTTTTCAAACAAAATACAATGGTCCAAACATTTTGAGCTACATTTCTGTGGGCTCTCACCTGCTGTCCAGAGGTGTCTTCACTGCGGAAGGAGATAGACTCGAGCTGGTTCCCTCTGCTGGTCAGAGCTCTGAGACACGGCTCCCTGGCTTCGAAACCTTTCTCTAGGAAACTCACCGCCAGCCGGGCCTTCTCCTGCACGGCCCGCACATGGGCTGTATTAACATTATAGTTGCCACGGCCACCAGTGGTGCGCCCTCCTGGTCCCATTCCTCCCGCAAAGTTGTCCTGGCCTTTAGCCAAGCCATCTAATTCTGTAATCACTGAGAGAAAACACATCACAGCATGAGTATACATGAACCAATATGTCTGCCGTTTCAAAATTAGACACATGGTGCATTCTTATAATATCAACATCTTAATTACATTTCCCCTAACCCTCTTACTAAAGAGCATTTTTATCCATTGATTTATTTCCCCTTTCTGTATTTCAGCCTTACCGATGAGTGGCACAACTATAATGTATGTTCCACACTGAAGGACTCTCTTCAAGCCTCCTAAGTGATCAATGAATCCGTTGGTATCTGGAACCAAAAACCGAGGCCTCACTTCCAGCTCCAACTGCCCGCCTGTCTGCAGCACCGCCTGAAACACACAAGTTACATTACATAACATTCAACACTGCCAGCTCTCACTGTTTCTCATTACATTCACTAATTATCCATCACAATTCATTTCGTTATCGGATATCTATTGTTATGAAGGGTTAAGTACCTGTATTTTATCCCTGCGCTTCTGTTGCTGTGCCAGTTTGTTGGTGAGAACATGGCGTCGCGCCTTCAGTTCTCTGATGTCATTCTCACTGTCTCCCACATCTTCGGCATCCTCCTCTC